CCAAAGTTTAATACCAGAGCCACTGACCCATGCAGAGGTCAAGATATTTAACATTTTGGCATAGACACTCTTGCTTATTATAACGATGCACTTATTAGATTTTCCTTATTAACAATGTACAATGTACAGAAAAGAAGATTTTCAAAGAACTATATATTTCTACTGGTACTATATATTCAAAATTGATTCAACCGAACACCATAAGCTGACTAATGAATTTGAACAATGAATATGAATTTTAAGCATCCCGTTCACCCACGGATGTTTTGTACCATCTTTGTTAAAATTTTCTCAGTAAGTGATATTGTGAAAACTTATCAGAAAGGCGGACAACTAGTGATCAGATGGGCTCGTTTAACCTTTCAGCTGCATGCCCTAACAGAATTTGAGATAAACAAGAAACTTTGATAAGCCCGCAAAGAATACTGTTAACTTATTACATCAATAAACTTTTATTCCGAACACACAATAGCACGTTTTTAAAACCTAATACAAATAATGAAAACAAGACCTATTTCTATGCTTCCCTTGCCGCCCAGGAAAAACCATAGATAAAAACTATGGAAACCTGTGTCCGCAACAATTGCAAGGTAAACGTCATGAATGGCGGATCCTCATTCTTACAAACCTAATTTTATACAGTAAAACACCCTTTATATAAGTAAGTAAGTAAATTTTATTTAAAGTCGGCATTTTATACATTGCATAACAAGAAACATGGGCTCTGTAGAGCTCTTAAACCGACTATCACAGTCAAAATATCACAAGAAAACATTTACAACATAAACTAACATGCAAAAACACATGTACATATATATACACAAATATTTGGAAAATAAAACAATTTTTTAATATTAAACAATTTTAAGAATAAATCAATTTCTAAGAATTAATTACTAGAGAGAGAAAAAACTCGAAAAGCAAAAGGATTGCATTTAGAAGAACAAGAAAAAATAAAATAAAAATAAATAAACAAACATCATATGAAAGCAAATTAAATTACACACAGCATTTAATCCATAAAGTCAGATTAAAAAGCACTTCTTGTATTAATAATAATAAAAAAAAATTTTTGAAAGTTTAGAAAATAAAAATTCGCATAGATATTCCTCATCAATACACATTCTGCCTAGTGATTGGGTCAGTCCCTACCAACATAGGCAAGATATGCATTGTTATGGGGTTAAAGAAAAAGCAAGATTGGTCAAAGGCAAAAATTTATAGAAAACAGGATGCTGGAGAGAGATTACACCTTTGCCATCATATGCACCATGTCATATGATGTTACTCCAAAGGTTTTAGTCCCCAGCATCCTTATTATAGGAAATTTTAAGTAAATAACAAAGTTTAATATATAGATTTAAAAGAAATACCAGAAAACCGAATAAAATAAAATAATATGTGGTACCAAGGACAATACATTTTATAATTTGTTATGAATTTATTTTTTGTCCGAAAGCATTCTTTATATGCATTTTAAAAGAGCTTACGATGTTTGAATTTTTCAAAGTGTGTTCGAATCAAGGGTGTTTTACTGTCATTTTTAGAAAATTTTCTGACAAAAACATACATAACATATCAAAAGTTCACAATCCATATACATGTAATTAAAAGAATATATTACATTATATTTCCCATTGTTTACAAACATGAATTAGAGAACAATAAAACAACAGTTTCACACAACATGAAAGCATCGTCAGTAACAGGAAGTTTGGAATTAACAACACATTTATATACGTACAACCTCCTTCATATGTATAACAAATACGGAAAAAGAAAAACGATAAAAGATCAGGTTCCGTATGAGCAACTTTGGTACAGATAACCCATATATAACCATGTTCCTATTGGTAATACTTGCAGCTACACTAAAATAAGTTAAGTTTGTTAAGAAAGAGTTAAATGGTTTAAATGAGTGATAGATATATATATTTCAAACAATACTAACCTGAACCAACTATCCGAACCAACATCAGTGCAAGTTTAGGTAAGAGAAAGTTTGGCTAAGATGATTCATACACAAACATATTTCTAGAAATAACGAAGACTAAAAACTTAACCAACATCAGTGCAAGTTTAGGTAACGGCAAGTTTGGTTTAAATCATTCATATACAATTATGGACTGTTTAGAAGGGAAACATCACCAATTATCAGGTCTGAGTAGGGTTGTCACCCGAGGGCGCTTGCGCCCGAGGGTGACAACCCTACTCAGACCTGATAATTGGTGATGTCTCCCTTCTAAACAGTCCATAATAGTTTTATTATCCTGAAGAATATACAATTATCAATTAGATAGAGTAGAAAATACAGTGTAGTAATCAAAACTCTTGTTTTCTTCTACTCTGCTCCGATTCCATACTTTCAAAATGTCAACAGACAACTTTGACGTCATCGTTAGAATTTATTGTTTACCATATTTAGCCATTGTAATAAACAGGATTTCTCGCTTAAACCACTGTAGTTTTATTCAAAGGGCGACAACACAGTTGTAACCCTGCATGCTCGCTCACGCTATTTCATTGTCATCTGAAGGGAGATAACAGTTGTCACCCTGCGCGTGAGGGAGACATCACGAGTTGTCTCCCTGCACGTGACCTCCTCTAAACCAATCAGATTAGCTGTATAATTTTGAAGGATAATAATACATATTAATCATATTTCCAAAAATAACAAAAACTTACATAGCTAAACCAACATCAGTACAAGTTTAGGAAACGGCAAGTTTGATCAAGATGATTCATATATAAGCATATCCCCAACAATAACAAAGACCTATAGCTAAACCATCATCAGTGCAAGTTTAGGTAATGGCAAGTTTGATCAAGATGATTCATACATAAAAATACTCCTAACAATAACAAAGATCTATAGCTGAACCAATATCAGTGCAAGTTTAGGAAACGGCAACTTTGGTTTAAATGATTCATGCATAAGCATATTCCTAACACTAACAAAGACCTATAGCTAAACCAACATCAGTGCAAGTTTAGGTTATTGCAAGTTTGATAAGATAATTCATACATAAGCATATTCCTAACAATAATAAAGACAATTCTGAACCAACATCAATGCAAGTTTAGGTAACGGCAAGTTTGGATTATATGAGTACAAAAACATGTTTTTTAAACTGAAATAAAGACTATTAGCTAAACCTTGATCAGTTAAAGTTAATTAAGATGATTCATCTATAAACATATTCTTTCAAAAGAATGACTAAAATCTAAACCATCAATGTGCAAGTTTGGGTGAGAGCAAGTTTGGACTAGATGATCAAAATAATAATAAACACTAAAAGCTAGACCAACATCAGTGCAAGTTTAGGTAACGGCAAACGTTTGATCAAGATGATTCATACATAAGCATATTCCTAACAATAAAACAGACAATTCTGAACCAACATCAGTGCAAGTTTAGGTAACGGCAAGTTTGGATTATATGAGTACAAAAACATGTTTTTAACAGAAATAAAGACTATATGCTAAACCTTGATAAGATAAAGTTAATTAGAATGATTCATATATAAACATATTCTTTAAAAAGAATGACTAAAGCTATACCATCAACGTGCAAGTTTGGGTGAGAGCAAGTTTGGATATGAGCAAGTTTAGACTAGATGATCAAAACCATTACAACCACTAAAAGCTAGACCAACATCAGTGCAAGATTAGGTAACGGCAAGTTTGATCAAGATGATTCATACATAAGTATATCCCTAACAATAACGAAGACCTATAGCTAAACCAACATCAATGCAAGTTTAGGTAACGGCAAGTTTGGATTATAAGAGTACAAAAACATATTTTTAACAGAAATAAAGACAGACTATAAGATAAACCTTGATAAGTTAAAGTTAATTAAAATTCATATGTGAACATATTCTTTAAAAAAAATGACTAAAAGCTATACCATCAATGTGCAAGTTTGCGTGAGAGCAAGTTTGGATATGAGCAAGCTTGGACTAGATGATTAAAACAATAACAAACACTAAAAGCTAGACCAACATCAGTGCAAGTTTAGGTAAGTGCAAGTTTGGTTTAAATGATTCATACATAAGCATATCCCTAACAATAATAAAGACCTATAGCTAAACCATCATCAGTGCAAGTTTAGGTAATGGCAAGTTTGATCAAGATGATTCATACATAAGCATATTCCTAACAATAACAAAGACCTATAGCTAAACCAACATCAGTGCAAGTTTAGGTAATGGCAAGTTTGGTTTAAATGATTTATACGTAAGCATATTCCTAACAATTATAAAGACAATACTGAACCAACATCAGTGCAAGTTTGGGTGAGAGCAAGTTTGGATATGAGCAAGTTTGGACTAGATGATTAAAACAATAACAAACACTGAAAGCTAACCAACATCAGTGCAAGTTTTGGTAAGAGCAAGTTTGGTTTAGATGATTCATACATAAACATATTCCTAACGATTAGAAAGACTGAAGCTTATCCAACATAAGTGCAAGTTTGGTGATCGAGAGCAAGTTTGATTTAAATAATCCATACTTACACATATTCCTAACAATAACAAAGACTAAAAGCTTAACCAAGATCAGTGCAAAATTAGACTTATAGCTAAAGTAACGTCAGAGCAAGTTTGGGTTCAAGCAAGTTTGGATAAGAACAAGTTTGAATTAGATGATTTACATATAAATATACTCTTAACCATAATATCAATAACCAATCAATCTTAAACATATAAAAGACTAAAAGCTTAACAAGCGTAAGTGCAAGTTGATTAAGAAGATTCATATATCAATATATGCCTAACAAAAATATGACTTAGTGCTATACCAACATTAGTGCAAGATTCGGTGAGAGCAAGTTTGGATCAGAGCAGGTTTGGTTTAGATGATTCTTGCATAAACATACACCTACAAATAATGAAGATTAAAACCTTAACCATCGTCAATGCGAGATTGGGTAAGAGCATGTTTGGGTAAGTTCATTAGTACATAAACCTATCCCTTACAATAACAAATACTTGATACTAACAAGTTTGGTTTATATGATTTATATTTGACCATACACCTAACAATAAAACAAAGCTAAACATATGTGCAAGTTTGCTTAGAGCAAGTTTGGTTAGGATGATTCATTAATAAACATAACCCTAATACAGTACGTTAAGACATGGTAGAGGGCAAGGTTGTTTTCCATTTTACAAAATGAAATACTTAAAACAATAACAAATAATCAAATGAATACAAAAATATTACATACATATTTAGACGATTAATTAGATGAAAAATGTATAAAACTTGTTTAAAAAAATCACAAAAAGATAAATACTGTGAAATAACAGCAACACAGGTTTCAGTCAATCGCTACTCTTGAAGTTAATCCTCCAACATGGCGGTCTTTCGTTGAAAATGGGACTGAGATGTTCTGTATTTTCTGTCTGTTAACAAACAATGTAGAAAGATCATGTGAAAAATGTGACAAGAATTTCTGATGTGATAAAGTGACGTAAAAAACGAGAGACCCAAGGGCCTTAAGGTTCATTATGTAACTGCTTAATTTCAAGAGGCCCAATGGCATCAACGGTAACATGAGTATGTTACAATTATTTGGAGGATCCATAGAGTACAAAAGGCCCATGGGCCATATAGGTCATCTGAGCATCATGCAACAACTTTCAAATGATTGAATTTGGTTCATCTTCATGTTTTAAGCTAGATGCTATAGCATTCACAATTTTGAAAGAGGCACCATTGCTATTCTAAACACTTACATGTAACAATTGTTTTGTTTGTTTACTTTATACCCATAAGCAGGGTAGGGGAACAAAAAATGAATTTCAACTAATCAGTAATATTCAGCAATCATCAGAAGTGCCCCTACCACACCTGAAACCCTGACCCTAGGTTCACACATTGCTCAATTTTTGAAAAGGCACACTTGCTTATCAAAAATGTTTGATTAATACCAAGGAGTAGATTTCAAACAATTCATTTTCAGTATATAAGTAGAGCCCCCCCCCCTTTGGTACTTTGGTATCTCTGACCCAGGGGCCTTGATATTCACAATTCTGGAAGAAGAGCCCTTGCACATCATAAATATATAGGTAGTTCATCTGCTTCTTACCCAGGAGTAGAGAAAAGATTTTCATATATGTAATTTATTTTCACTTAATATAATCATTATAGAGCCACATCCTATAACCATAACCCCTGAACCTCGAGCCATAAAATTCACAATTTTGGTAGAGACACTCTTGCTCATCATAACTATTAACTTTGTTGGTTTATTTAATACCCAGAAGCAGAGAAGAAGATTTTCGAAGATTTAATGCATTTTCACTGTATAATCAATAGAGTCCCAGCCTAACACCAGAACCCCTGACCATGGGGCCATAAAATTCACAATTTTTTTAGAAGCATTCTTGCTTATCATGACTATGTACTTAGTTAGTTTATTTGATACCTAGGAGAAGAGAAAAAGATTTTCGAAGATTTAATGCATTTTCACTGTATAATCAATAGAGTCCCAGCCTAACACCAGAACCCCTGACCCTGGGGCCATAAAATTCACAATTTTGACAGAAGCATTTTGCTCATCATAACTATGTACTTAGTCAGTATATTTAATACCAAGTAGCAGAGAAGAAGATTTTCAAAGATTTAATGCATTTTCACTATATAATCAATAGAGCCCCAGCCTAACACCATAACCCCTGACCATGGGACCATAAAATTCACAATTTTGGTAGAAGCATTCTTGCTCATCATAACTATGTACTTAGTCAGTATATTTAATACCAAGTAGCAGAGAAGAAGATTTTCAAAGATTTAATGCATTTTCACTCTATTATCAATAGAGCCCCAGCCTAACACCATAACCCCTGACCATGGGGCCATAAAATTCACAATTTTGGAAGAGACACTCTTGCTCATCATAACTTTTAACTTAGTTGGTTTATTTAATACCCAGAAGCAGAGAAGAAGATTTTCAAACAAATGATGCATTTTCACTATGTAATCAATAGAGCCCCGCTCTAACACCAGAACACCTGACCCTGGGGCCATAAAATTCATAATTTTGGTAGAAGCATTCTTGCTCATCATAACTTTGTACTTCGTTAGTTTATTTATTACCTAGGAGAAGAGAAAAAGATTTTCGAAGATTTAATGCATTTTCACTGTATAATCAATAGAACCCCAGCCCAACACCATAACCCTGACCCTGGGGCCATAAAATTCACAATTTTGGTAGAAGCATTCTTGCTCATCATAACTGTGTACTTAGTTAGTTTATTTAACACCAACAAGCAGAGAAGAAGATTTTCAAAGAATCTATGCATTTCTACTATATAATCAATAGAGCCACGCCCTAACACCAGAACCCCTGACCCTGGGGCCATAAAATTCTTAATTTTTTTAGAGGCACTCTTGCTCATCATAACTATGTACTTAATTAGTTTATTTAGTACTTAGGAACAGAGAAGAAGATTTTCAAAGAAATAATGCATTTTCACTATATAATCATTAAAGAGCCCCGCCCTAACACCATAACCCCTGACCCTGAGGTCATAAAATTCATCATTTTGGTAGAGACACTCTTGCTCATCATAACAATGTACTTAGTTAGTTTATTTAATACCAAGAAGCAGAGAAGAAGATTTTCAAAGATTTAATGCTTGTCACTGCATAATCAATAGAGCCCCGCCCTAACACCAGAACTCCTGACCCTGGGGCTATAAAATTCACAATTTTGGCAGAAGCATTTTCGCTTATCATAACTATGTACTTAGTTAGTTTATTTAATACCTAGGAGAAGAGAATAAGATTGTCGAAGATTTAATGCATTTTCACTGTATAATCAATACAGCCCCAGCCTAACACCAGAACAACTAACCCTGGGGCCATAAAATTCACAATTTTGGTAGAAGCATTCTTGCTCATCATAACTATGTACTTAGTCAGTATATTTAATGCCAAGTAGCAGAGAAGAAGATTTTCAAAGATTTAATGCATTTTCACTATATAATGAATAGAGCCCCGCCTTAACACCATAACCCTTGACCCTGGGGCCATAAAATTCACAGTTTTGGTAGAAAAATTCTTGTTCATCATAACTATGTACTTAGTTAGTTTATTTAATACCCAGGAGCAGAGAAGAAGATTTTCAAAGAAATAATGCATTTTCACTATGTAATCAATATAGCCCCGCCCTAGCACTAGAACCCCTGACCCTGGGGCCATGAATTTCACAATTTTGGTAGAGGACTCAATGCTGATTACAATCATACCAACAGTTGAACTGCTTGATGTCCAAGAGTATAGAAGAAGATTTTTAAAAATTGCACTAATTTTCGTGGTTTTGGCACCATCCCCCAGGCCCCAGGGGGGCAGAGACCATGAAATTCATAATTTTTGTTCCCCTTTACTCACAGATGCTATATGCTAAAATTGGTTGAAATTGGTTCTGCGGTTTCAGAGAAGAAGCTAAAAATGTTTAAATGTTAACGCACGACGAACGACGCACGACGAACAACGACGGACGAAAACGGATAGCAATAGGTCACCTGAGTTTACTCAGGTGACCTAATAAAATAGGTGAAACTTTGTTGTACAAAAGAAATATAATACCGAGGAGCAATGAATGAAAAAGTGAGCAAGCTCACATACCCCACGCTCCCCAAAAACTCTAAGTGCCGAAAATCCCCCCAAAAAATAAAGGAATTGGAATTTCCTGATGCACATCTACATATTGTGTCCTAAATGTCTGCAAAGTTTGAATAATGCTGAAATTCCAAGAAACAATTAAGGAATCGGAATTTCCTGGTAATATGCACATCTACACTCTGTGTCCTAAATATTTGCAAAGTTTGACTGAATTCTGTGCAGCGGTTTATGAGTTGCGCTGACAAAAAAATAGGAGGACTGACAGACTGACTGACTGACTGACTGACTGACGGGTCAAAAATATTTTACCTCCCGCAACTTGCTCGTGGGGTATTATATAAATATTGCATGTAGTTGAGTGTAACATTGAAAATTTTCACCCCAAGAAAACCATTGTCAACCGAGGCGCAGCCGAGGTTGACAATGGTTTTCGAGGGGTGAAAATTTTCAATGTTACACTCAACTACATGCAATATTTATTATATTATACTGAATGTTTTATACAAATATATATTAGAGTGAACCGTGCGCGCATAAATTCCGCGCAGTCGCTAATTTTTTGGAATACCACCCGTCGTCAAGCAATGTTGACTGTTGCTACGCAGGAGGGCGTGGCTTCATTATTCAGCGGGTAGTAGTGTTTTTTATCAAATGTTTCTCGACGAATCAGATTCAAGTAATTTACATGAAAGTATAATATAATGACATAACTATCAAATCTAGTACATGTATGCCTATGGATGATAGCATTAATTTAGGTGTATATGGATAATTATGGATATCTGTACTATCGTTGCATACACCATTTACATTCTAGTTTGAAACAAAAACACTCGGAAACAATTGCAGGGATACATGTATGCCTTATCATCACTTTTATATTAAATTTAAACACATGAAAGTTAGCATAAAAATTTTATATTATCTAGAAAAGAATTCATACTTAGAACTGTCCAGAAGGATCAAATATCCCCCGCTGGGTTTTTTCAGAGAAGGTGCCAAATCACGAACATTTTATGAAACTAAGGTGTTTATAATTTGCTGTAACATTTTGAGTAAGAATATAATTGCTCATTATACTTTAAATGAATAAAACTAAGGTGCAGTCTAATTAAAAAAAAACTAAGGTGCAGTCTAATAAAAAAAAAAAGACTAAATACACGGACCACAAATTCTGAAAATTTTCTTTCAGTGACCTTGAACTTGCATAACTGATCTTGGGTTACGCAATCTTTGTGTGAAATGGGAACTCATCACATTTATTCTTAACAAAAATATGGACCAGACAGGAATTATGTAGGCCTTTCAACTAATTTTTCAAGTTGCACATATAGTAAAACACATTTCACTGATAGATTTATAGGTACATGATATTATCAAAAAGACAATAACTTATGCATATATTTGATTAAATAATTAAAAAGTTTAATTATTTATAATTGAATTGTACGATGTTGTGTTTTAACTCAGGTGTGAAAAATGACCAATTAATTGCCGATTTATGAGTTATCGTTTATAGGAATGACATATAGGTTACTTCAGTATAGGTATTGTTATGTACACAGAAGGGTTCCTTACACTGTTTTGTACACAGAAGTGTTGACCAAAAGAAGCAGAATGCCTTCACTCTACCTGAAATAACAGGGTCAAATGAATAAGGAACAGACTATATTCAATATTTTTTACTCTTTTTGACGATTGTTATGAGGTAGAAAATATAATGACATGTTTTTTTTGTGCGCACTTTTGCGCTTCCTATATAAATATACATATTTTTACAAGTAAATGTAACAATGATTTATCTTATTTGTGTTACCTAGCATGAATAAGAACGACCGAGCATAAACATTTAATCAGGTTAGAACTAAGAAGGAGGGTATATTTCACATTTTATTTTAATTAAAAAAATTTCTTATATCTAATTCAACGGTGTTCGCAACTATATTTTAAATAAGATTAACATTAGTGCTAAATTTTAAAACCATTTGATTCAACTGACAGCAAAGAAACACTTGGGAAATGTTAAAAAGTGACCTTCGTATAAACAGTTAGATAAATCGAACCTGCTATAAACAAGTTTCAGCAACGAGTTATCGTTCATAACAGCGAACCCTAGCGGCAGTTGAAAGGCCTTAATTTTGAAATTGATCTTGGGTCAAAGTTCCTTACATGTAGGTCATAAGCAATCTTGCAATCTAAAACAGGAACCCACCAAGATTTCTATCGGAAAGATATGGAGCAGACAAAAATTATTAATTTTTTCTTTCAGTGACCTTGAACTTGCACAAATGACCTTGGGTCAAAGTCATGACACACCTTCAGGTCATAAGCAATCTTTTTGTGAAATCGTAGTTTCAAGTTTTCCATTGGAAAAATATGGAGCAGACACGAATTATTTTTTTTCCTTTATTGACCTTGAACTTGCCCAAATGACCTTGTGTAAAGGTCATGCACACCTTCAGGTCATAAGCAATCTTTGTGTGAAATGGAAACTTACCAGGTTTATCCAATTCATACAGTGATTGTATTATGTTTAACAATTATATTAAATATATATAGCGTAAATCTTGGACTGATCTGAAGGATTGTGTTAAGTTCATTGATATCCATCTACTCAATAGAAATGTTTTCTACCGTCAGCATATCTTTTCCGATGAAACGTATCCATAAATTGAGAAACTTGACATAAAACGTGCCTCAACCCCCTTTCCTCTGCTTCGAAAGTTTATACCCTTGCACTTGGTTTTTTTAGTTTGCTTACTAGTTGTCGGCATTTATGTCACTACATAATCAATTGAAGCCCGCCCTAGCACCTGGCCCCATATAATAAACTGACAAAAGACTTAAGTCCGAATTAAACTTTATAATATCTTAAATTTTATTTAATATATTTGCTTGCTCTACTTACAATGTGTAATATTGCAAACTTTTAAATTCAAACAAACGATTGTTTTATTCGATGACATCTGGTCAATGTTCGCAGTATATGGTCTTGGAGCCCAAAACCTTGATCAAGGGCAATGATTTTTATAATTTTTCTAGAGACACGCCTGTTTATTATTATCGTGCACTAAATGCCAAATAGCAAAGGGGATTACTAAAAAATGAACCATTTTCTTCAGATTTGGATGGTATAACATTAACCTACCAGCAGTGCCGCTGACACAAGGACCATGCACTAGTATTTCTAAATTTAGATAGAAACGATGCACCGTTGCTCATTTGAACCATGCACTTAAAACAGCAGATTTTTTAAGCACCACTACTGTCCTATTCTTCTCATAATTTAAATATACACAGGCCTGTTTATTATAATCAAACACTTTGTCTGCTAAAGCTGGCAATGTTTTTCTTTCCATTTTGACATTTTGGAATGGCGAAAGGGAAAAACTTTTGATAAAGTGTGATTACCTTGGTGAATCTGGTTTTCTTACAAAGTGTAATGAATGGGGCTAATGTCTTACCATTAGTAGCATAATTAACTGTGGTTTGTCCGTGCTTCGTTACCTCTGTTGTCAGTAAATGCATGCTTCTTTTGGAAAGGAAAACTGTCTGAACCTGCTTTTATCAAGACAAGAGAACTAAGATCAGAAGATCTCAATCTACAATTAGGAGTCGAAAATATATAATCGGGTAATGTTGCAGAAGAGAGTTTATATCTCACCCTTTCTCTCATTGTTGGTTCCTGGACTCTGGACCCTCTTATTGATCATTCTTCCCATTTTAGGTTTCCATTATTAAAGTTCTGTTACACAGAGAAATTTAAAAGACAATATATAAGTTGAATAAAGCAATAAAAGAAAGCAAATCCAAAACGCAGCAGTGTTAAGGACATTGGCAAGGTTTCTGGCTTTAGTATAGAAATTTTCAAGAACTTTTGAACATGTTTAATGGTACCAAACATGTTTAGTTCTGGTTAATTTAATCCACCAAGGCAGCCTTCTTTTTCCGATTTTGTCGAATCAATGCTTTCACAATACTCAATGCATTTCCTATGTAAAATGTTGATGTGGACCTACATAATTTTTAACCATATGATTTCTCTAAAAACCCATTTATTTAATAGACGTAGATAAATAAAGATCCAAAGAATTGAGATCACTCTCAATAACTGTTTTTATAAATGATAAAATCTATGCATTATACTTTTTTTCTCCGGAAACCCTGCCTTGCCAATGACCTTAATGCATACTTTGACGCAGGAGCAAGCTCTACATAAGGACAATTTCTAAAACGAGGTATATTATTGACAAACAAGTTGATGAAACACGAATATCAGCAGTCTCCTTTAAAGTCATCCTTTATTAGTTCAATGGTCGATATAATGACATTATCAGCAAATAAAATTTATCATTGAGTCAAATTATGACTGACGTTTTTCATACTAATTGTTAGTCTATTATTTATACACTGAATTGTTGACGGATTTTTCCGTTATTTCCCGATAATGACAAGGAGTACACGGCGGGTGTGACCGGTCGCCAGGGGATGCTCACTTCTTCCTGGCACCTGATGGAGGTCCGTGTTTGCTCTGCTCCTATTTTTGTATTGTTTTATGGACTTTGATATTGAATACTGTGCGTTATCTCCAAATACTTCATTGCAGAATTCAAAGGAATATAGATGTGCAAAATGTTGGTACTTTTTTAAAAATTTATTTATTGTGATGCCTGTATAATATCACATTTAATTAATTGAAAACTTTATGTGTCAGTATGATACAATTAAATGCCTCTGCAGACATACTTAAATATAAAGTCCAAGTGTGTGAAAAGGAAAATGGGTGAACAAATATAATAAACGTTGCTATTTCTTATCTTTAGAATAAAATGTCTTTATGACATTCTACGGTATATTTAAGCTGCATGGAACGATAATTATTTACCAGCAAATGAATAAAAAAACATCCAAAAACAGTGAATAATTTGAAAGAAGTTACAAGGCGTACAAGGCGAGAATATTCCCCCATTGCAATTCTTTGCTGTATAATCATTAAATTTTTGCAAGAATCTTAATGTTTTATTTAAGAAAAACGTTTCATTTCATTTTTTCATGCGTAAATTCAATTAATTGAATTTAGAAACTTCTATGGACAATTGTCCAATATTCATTTAACCAAAATTACTTTTCAGATGTTTATGCTATTTAAAAAAATCAAGAGTATTTATGCCCCTGAGCAGCTTTGCAAGGGATTGTAACTAATAATTTTTCCAAAAATTGAAAAGAACTATATGCTATATTCATATATTTGCACAAAAGTCAAATTTTGGATTTCTGAAATTTGCTAATAATTTTATCCAAAAAATATTATAGTGTCAAAATTTTCATAATTTTTGTTTTTATGACGTCACAAACTAGTTCGATTTTATATCCTTTTTCAGAAAGAAGACAAAATGGGCAAAATTTCAACAATTTTAGCTTTAAGATTTATAGAGCGCAAGTTTGTTCAGGAACAATATTGACATATTTCATTGATATTATCATTCTACACATTATATCAAAATATTGATCCTGAACACAAATGCGCTCGGTGACTTTTACTCAAAATATCGACGAAATATGTACATTTTTCTGTAAAATTCATTAAAAAAATGAAATTTACGTCATGTTTGTGACCATTACGTACATATGGCGTTTACTTATGAAAATATTCAGTGCTTTGAAGTCAGCATATACTCCCCTGTTTAAGAACTTAATTAAATATTTCTCCATCAAAGTTTGATTTGGGGCAAATATTGGTTATTACCGAATAAAGTTCTTTTCCAATTCAGAGTGCTCATGAGACATTGAATCAGGTCAACAATACAAATACCTGTATCAAATAACCCAAACTGTATGTCCAACAGTCTCATTTCCATTTCTTTCTCTGCCTGTCAACATTGAACAAATGAAGGTTCAGATAGAAATTTTGTCGTCATCAAAGCAGTATGTGAATTCATTTTTTTCAATTTAACAAAAAATTTTCCCTTACCACTTGATACTTTTGGCTTAGTGGATCTTCAATATGGTCCCTTCCCTTCTTCATTTTATTGCACCCCCTTGTGCCCATTGCTTGTGCTATATCAAGGATAGAAACAGACTTAAAATTAGTACAGGAGAAAGAGGTCGAATTACTCATAGTAATCCAATTGAAAGTTTGGAAAAGGAATCGAATTAAGTAATCAAGGCTTATACACCTGTTTTTTCTTTTCCTTAGTGAAGCTGAAGTTTTTCAATTCTCTTCCTTCGTTTTATGAAAGCACTGTTCTCCATTTGGTAATGATGTCCAATAAACTCTTTTTCCTGTAAACATTTGAGAAATGCATTTGTACAATAGATATTTGGCTTCATTGAAACAAATAAGCCAAAGGAAAATTACAGAATAATAATCAATTCATACAAAAAAATTCTTACCAAGTGCAATTTGGAGAATGATGTACACTTCGCATAGTGGATTATCGGAAAGGACCTTTCTTCGTCTGGAGGCACCCCCTGCCCCTGTTAAGGACAAAAACTGACACCAAATTAGTACAGAGTTTAAAAATGAGGTATTATTTTTTACAATAGACGAATACGAAAATGCTACAAATGTTAGAAAGAGTAGTGAGGGGACAGAAGACAAAACAGACAAAAGAAACATATTAGCTTACCTCGTGTCTGGATTTCAAGACAAATCCCAACCTTTTTCTTGACTCCTTGACTGATTGGCGTCTTTCATTGGAAAGCTACTCAACATCCTATAAATCAAATACCAATTATTCAAATTGGACACAGTTAGTCTATGTGGAAACAATTTAGAAAATTAAGGTATTGCAAAAGGGAGAGAGAAAAAGAGAGAGAGAGAGAGAGAGAGCGAGAGAGAGAGCAAATTAATCATATTTTCTATTCAAGTTCAATGTGGGACACAGTGAAAGTCATATAACAGCTGGTAAGTAAAAATTGAAAGAAAAAGAGAGTAAACCATACCTATTGTTCTGAAGTTGGCAGTAGTTGATCGGGGACAATGCTATTTACTGCAGGTTAAAGTCAGCAAAAATCGCCTTCTTCTAAGACAGTAACACAGTTTAGATTAATGACTATTTCCAACTGACATTGCATAACAAATTGATTCAGGTCAACAATGCATATACAACTGCATCTAATTACCAATACTGTAGCTTAAGTTGATCCTTTTTCTCCAGTTTCTTCTTGTGGAGAGTCTACATTCCAATTTGAAATGGTGTCCAATCCATTCTTCTGCTGCAAACAGTCAATAAATCAAGGTTTAAATAAGGACACTATCTTTCATCCAATTCAAGAATGATGTCAAATCAACTTATTCAAAAATAGTGGGAAAATATTTGTTCCGTACCACTATTGAATATTTTGTACTGTCAGAAAAGTGGATCCTCCATTATGTGATCCCTTCTTAGTCTAGCGGTATTCCCCTTGTGTCTCTCAATTATTTTCTATTTAAAGACACAGACACAAAATTAGTACAGGAAAACAAAAGGTAATATTACTCAAATACGTTTTCCAATTGAAAGTTCAGAAGAGAAATCAAATTAAGTCAACAAAGCTTACACACCTTTTTCTTCTTTTCCTTAGTGAGGCTGAAGATTTTCAATTCTCTTGTTTCTTCTTGTGAAGGGACTGTTCTCCTTTAGTAATGATGTCCAATAAACTCCTCTGCCTGTGAACATTGGAGAAATGAATCTTTAATAAAGATACTTTGTTACTTTTGATATTAATAGCCCAAATGAGAATTTCAGAATAATAATCAATTTTTCCGCATAAAGTTCCTTACCACTTTGGAGAATGATGTACATTTTGCATAGTGGGTCCTCAGAAAGGACATTTCTTCGTCTGTAGGCATCCACTTGAGTTCCTCCATTGCCCCTGCCCCTGTTAAGAATTAGAAACTGACACCAAATTTGTACAGAGTTCAAAAATGAGGGATTATTTTTTTAAATAAACGAATACGAGAATGCTAGTTATGTTAGAAAAAGTAGTAAGGGGACAGAAGACAAAACAGACAAAAGAAACATATTAGCTTACCTCATGTCTGGATTTCAAGACAAATCCAAACCTTTTTCTTGACTCCTTGACTGATCCGTGTCGTTCATTGGCCAGCTACTCAACATCCTATCAATTAAATATCAATAATTCAAACTGGACACAGTTAAGCCATGTGGAAACAATTACTAAAAAAATTAAGGGATTAAGAAAAAGGAGAGAGAGAGAGAGAGAGAGCAAATTAATCGTATTTTCTTTTCGAGTTCAATGTGGCACACAGTTAAAGTCATATAACAATATCTAAATAAAACATTGGAAGGAAAAGATAGTAAATCATACCTTTTGCTCTGAGGTAGGCAGCAATTGATCAGGGACAATACTCTTTACTGCAGGTTGAAGTCAGCAAAACTCGCCCTCTTCTAAGACAGTGAAATAAAGTTCAGATTAATGACTATTTCCAACTAAGAGTGGATGAGAAATTGAAAAAGTCAACATTGCATATTCATCTCCATCTAATTACCAATACTGTAGCTTAAGTTGATCCTTTTTCTCCAGTTTCTTCTTGTGGAGAGTCTACATTCCAATTGGAAATGGTGTCCAATCCATTCTTCTTCTGTGAACATTGAACAAATGGAGGTTTAAATAAGGACACCTTGTATTTCTTCCAAGTAGAATGTCAGATTAACTAATTTAAAAATAGAAGGAAAATATTTGTTCCTTACCACTATAGTATATTTTGTACTGTTAGCAAAGTGGATCCTCCAAGTTTTCCCTTCTTAGTCTAGTGGTATCCCCTTGTGTCTCTCCATTACTTGTGCTATATAAAAAATAGACACAGACACAAAATTAGTACAAGGAAAACAAAAGGTCATATTACTCATATGTTTTCCAATTGAAAGTTCAGAAGAGAAAACAAATTAACTCAACAAGGTTTACACTGCTGTTTCTTCTTGTCCTTAGTGAAGCTGAAGTTTTTCAATTTTCTTGTTTCTTCTTGTGAAGGGACTGTTCTCCTTTAGTAATATTGTCCAATAAACTCCTCTGCCTGTGAACATTGGAAAAATTAATCTTTACTAAAGATACTTTGTCGCCATCAATATAAAAAGCCCAAATGAGAATTACAGAATAATAATCAATTTTTCCCAAATAAAGTTCCTTACCACTTTGGAGAATGATGTACACTTTGCATAGTGGATCCTCAGAAAGGACCTTTCTTCGTCTGCAGGCATCCACTTATGGAGTTCCTCCATTGCCCCTGCCCCTGTTAAGAATTAGAAACTGACACCAAATTAGTACAGAGTTCAAAAATGAGGGATTATTTTTTACAATACACGAATACGAAAATGCTAGTTATGTTAGATAGAGTAGTGAGGGGACAGAAGACAAAACAGACAAAAGAAACATATTAGCTTACCTCATGTCTGGATTTCAAGACAAATCCAAACCTTTTCTTGACTCCTTGTCTGATTCGCGTCTTTCATTGGCCAGCTACTCAACATCCTATGAATAAAATATCAATAATTCAAACTGGACACAGTTAGGCCATGTGAAAACAATTACAAAAAATTAAAGTATCAAGAGGGAGAGCAAATTAATCGTATTTTCTTTTTGAGTTCAATGTGGCACACAGTTAAAGTCATATAACAATATGTAAATAAAAACTGGAAGGAAAAGAAAGTAAACCATACCTATTGTTCTGAGGTAGGCTGTAGCTGATCGGGGACAATGCTCTTTTCTGCATGTTGAAGTCAGCAAAAATCGCCTTCATCTAAGACAGTAATATAAAGTTCACATTAATGACTATTTCCAATTGAGAGTGCAAAACAAATTGAAAAAGGTCATCAATGCACATACATCTGCATCTAATTACCAATATGTAGCTTAAGTTGATCCTTTTTCTCCAGTTTCCTTTTTGTGGAGAGTCTACACTCCATTTTGGAAATGGTGTCCAATACAATCTTCTGCTGTGAACATTGAACAAATAGGTTAAATAAACTAATTCAAAAACAGAGGGAAAATATTTGTTCGTTACCACTATTGTATATATTTTGTACTGTTAGCAAAGTGGATCCTCCGAGTGGTTGAACTGAATTGAACATATTTTATTGAACATAGTCAAAAAGATTGGACACAAGTTCAGTGACTTAGATAGTCCTCTCTTAATACATTTTCTAAAATTACCAAAATTAAAAAAAACCCATAAAATTATATATATGGTATACTACATACGTTGTATACATCGAAGTGGTCCCTTCTCAGTCTATTGGTATGACCCTTGTGTCCCTCCATTACTTGTGCTATATAAAGAATAGACATCGACACAAAATTAGTACAGGGAAACATCAGGTCATATTGCTCATACATTTTCCAATTGAAAGTTCAGAAGAAAAATCGAATTAAATCAACAAGGCTTACACATCTATTTCTTAGTGAAGAAGTTTTTCAATTCACTTGTTTCCTCTTGTGAAGGGACTGTTCTCCAGTTTGAGTTGCTTATGATGTTTCCTAAGATCTTCTACCTTTGAACATTAAAAAAATGGATCTTTACAAAAGATACTTTGTCTTCATTGAAATAAATAAGCCAAATGAGTATTGTATTACAGAACAATAATCAATTTATCCCACAAAAAGTTCCTTACCACTCTGACGAATGATGAACACTTTGCATAGTGGATCCTCAAATTAAATCAAGGGCTTTTCAAGTGAAAGCTGAAGTTTTACAATTCTCTTGTTTCTTCTTGTGAAGGGACTGTTCTCCTTTAGTAATGATGTACAATAAACTCCTCTGCCTGTGAACATTGAAAAAATAGATCTTAACTAAAGATACTTTGTCACCATTGAGATAAATAACCCAAATGAATACGACAGAATAACAATCAATTTTTCCATATAAAGTTCCTTACCACTTTGGAGAATGATGTACACTTTGCCCTCCGTTGCCTCCAATGCCCCTGCCCCTGTCCAGGATTAGAAACTGACACAAAATTAGTACAGAGTTCAAAAATGAGGGATTATTTTTTACAATACACGAATACGAAAATGCTAGTTATGTTAGAAAGAGTAGTGAGGGGACAGAATATAAAACAGACAAAAGAAACATATTAGCTTACCTCGTGTCTGGATTTCAAGACAAATCCAAACCTTTTCTGGACTCCTTGACTGAATTGTGTCTTTCATTGGCCAGCTACTCAACATCCTATCAATTAAATATCAATATTTCAAACTGGACACAGTTAAGCCATGTGGAAACAATTACGTTTTAAAAAATTAAGGGATTAAGAAAAACAAGAGAGAGAGAGAGCAAATTATTCAGATTTTCTTTTCGAGTTCAATGTGGCACACAGTTAAAGTCATATAACAATATGTGAATAAAACATTGGAAGGAAAAGAGAGTAAACCATACCTATTGTTTTGAAGTAGGCAGTTGTTGAGCTGGGACAATGCTCTTTACTGCAGGTTGAAGTCAGCAAAACTCGCCCTCTTCTAAGACAGTGAAATAAAGATCAGATGAATGACTATTTCCAACTGAGAGTGGATGAGAAATTGAAAAAAGTCAACATTGCATATTCATCTACATCTAATTACCAATACTTAAGCTTAAATTGATACCCTTTCTACAGTTTCTTCTTGTAGAGAGCCTACACTCCAACTGGAAATAGTGTCCAATCCATTCTTCTTCTGTGAACATTGCAAATGGATGTTTTAATAAGGACACTTTGTATTTCATCCAAGTAGACTGTCAGATAAACTTATTTAAAAATACAGGAAAAATGTTTGTTCCTTACCACTATAGTATATTTTATACTGTAAGCAAAGTGGATCCTCCAAGTGGTCCCTTCTTAGGCTAGCGGTATTCCCCTTGTGTCACACCATTACTTGTGCTATATAAAGAATAGACACCGACACAATATAAGTACAAGAAAACAATACGTCATATTGCTCATATACGTTTTCCAATTGAAAATTCAGAAGAGAAATAAAATTAAGTCAACAAGGCTTACACACCTGTTTCTTCTTTTCCTTAGTGAAGCTGAAGTTTTTCAATTCTCTTGTTTCTTCTTGTGAAGGGACTGTTCTCCTTTAGTAATGATGTCCAATAAACTCCTCTGCCTGTGAACATTGAAGAAATGAATCTTTAATAAAGATACTTTGCCACTATTGATATAAATAGCCCAAATGAAAATTACCAAATAATAATCAATTTTTCAATTTAAAGTTCCTTACCACTTTGGACAATGAAGTACACTTTGCATAGTGGATCATCAGAAAGAACCTTTCTTTGTCTGGAGGCACCCACTTGAGTTCCTCAATTGCCCCTGCCCCTGTTAAGGATAGAAACTGACACCAAATTAGTACAGAGTTCAAAAATGAGGGACATTTTTTACAATACACGAATATGAAAATGCTAGCAATGTTAGAAAGAGTAGTGAGGGGAAAGAAGACAAAACAGACAAAAGAAATATGTCAGCTTACCTCGTGTCTGCAAGACAAACCCAAACCTTTACTGGACTCCTTGACTGATTCATGTCTTTCATGGGCTAGCAACTCAACATCCTATAAATAAAATATAAATAGTTCATACTGGACACAGTTAAGCCATGTGGAAACAATTACGAAAAATTAAGGTGTGTATATATATAGCGAAAGAGAGCAAATTAATCTTATTTTCTTCTTGATTTCAATGTGACACACAGTTAAAGTCATATAACAATACATAAATAAAATGAAAAGAAAAAGAGATTAAACAATACCTTTTGTTCTGAGGTGACAGTAGTTGATCAGGGACAATGCTCTTAACTGCAGGTTGAAATCAGCAAAACTCGCCTTCTTCTAAAATGGTGACATGAAGTTCACATTAATGACTATTTCCAATTGAGAGTGCATAACAAATTCAATCAAGTCAACAATGCACTTACATCTGCATCTAAATAGCAATACTGTAGCTTAAGCTGATCCTTTTTCTCCAGTTTTTCTTGTGGAGAGACTACTATCCAATTTGAAATGGTGTCCAATCCATTCTTTTTCTGCTGCAAACAATGAACAAATTGAGGTTAAAATAGGGACACTTTGAATTTCATTCAAGTAGGATGACAAATCAACTAATTCAAATATGGAGGGAAAATATTTGTTCCTTACCACTATAGTATATTTTGTACAGTTAGCAAAGTGGATCCTCCGAGTGGTCTCATCTTAGTATAGCGGTTTTCCCCTTGTGTCCCCATTACTTGTTCCATATAAGAAATAGACACCGACATAAAATTAGTACAAAATTTCATATTACTTATATGTTTTCCAACTGAAAGTTCAGAAGAGAAATCAAATTAAATCAACAAGGCTTCTTCTTTTCCTTAGTGAAGCTGAAGTTTTTCAATTCTCTTGTTTCTTCTTTTAAAGGGACCGTTCTCCTTAGTAATAATGTCCAATAAACTCCTCTGTCTGTGAACATTGAGGAAATGAATCTTTACTAAAGATACTTTGTCACCATTGAAATAAGTACCCCAAATAAATATTACAGAATAATAATCAATTTTTCCCAAAAAAAGTTCCTTACCTCTTTGGAGAATGATGTACACTTTGCATAGTGGATCCTCAGGAAGGACCTTTCTTCGTCTGGAGTTAACCACTTGAGTTCCTCTATTGCCCCTGCCCCTCTACAGGATAGAAACTGACACCAAATAAGTACAGAGTTCAAAAATGAAGAATTATTTTTTTTTAAATACACAAATACGAAAATGCAAGTCATATTAGAAAGAGTAGTGAGGGGACAGAAGACAAAACAGACAAAAGAAACATATTAGCTTACCTCGTGTCTGGATTTCAAGACAAACCCAATCCTTTTTCTTGACTCCTTGACTGATTCGCGTCTTTCATTGGCCAGCTACTCAACATCCTAAAAATTATACGTCAATAATTCAAACTGGACACGGTTAAGCAATGTGGATACAATTATGAAAAAGTAAGGTATTAAGGAAGAAAAGAGAGAAAGAGATCAAATTAATCATATTTTCTTTTCGAGTTCAAAGTGGTACACAGATACAGTCATCTACCCGTATGTAAATAAAAAATTGGTGGGAAAAGAGAGTAAACCATACCTATTGTTTTGAGGTTGGCATTAGTTGATCAAGGACAATGCTCTTTACTGCAGGTTTAAGTCAGCAAAACTCGCTATCTTCTAAGACAGTAAAAACAAAGTTCAGATTAATAACGTTTTCCAATTGACAGTGCATGAGAAATTGAATCAGATCAACAATGCACATACATTTGCTTCTAATTACCAAAACTGTAGCTTAAGTTGTTCCTTTTCCTCCAGTGTCTTCTTGTGGAGAGTCTACACTCCATTTTGGAAATAGTGTCCAATCCATTCTTCTGCTGTAAACATTGATAAATGGAGGTTTAAGTAAGTACACTTTGTCTTTCATTCAAGTAGGATGTCAAATGAACTAATTCAAAAATAGAGGAAAAATATTGGTTCCTTACCATTGTAGTATATTTTGTACTGCTAGTAAAGTGGATCCTTCAAGTGGCCTTTTCTTAGTGTAGTGGTATTCCCCTTCTCTCCCTAAATTATGTGTGCTATATAAAGAATAGAAACCAACTCAAAAATAGTACAGGAAAACAAAAGATCATACTGCTCATACGTTTTCCAATTGAGAGTTCAGAAGAGAAATCGTGAACATTGGAGAAATGGATCTTTATAAAAGATGCTTTGTCTTCATTGAAATAAATTAGCCAAATGAGTATTGTATTACAGAGTAATAATCAATTTATACAAAAATAGTTCCCTACCACTTTGCAGAATGATGTGCACTTTGCATAGTGGATCCTCGGAAAGAACATTTTTTCGTATGGAGGCACCCACTTATGGAGTTCCTCCATTGCCCCTGCCCCTGTTAAGGATAGAAACTGACACCAAATTAGTACAGAGTTGAAAGATGAAGAATTTTTTTAAATGCAAGAATACGAAAATGCTAGTTATGTTAGAAAGAGTAGTGAGGGGACAGAAGAAAAAACAGACAAAAGAAACATATTAGCTTACCTCGTGTCTGGATTTCAGGACAAACCCAATCCTTTTCTGGACTCCTTGACTGATTCGCGTCTTTCATTTGCCAGTTACTCAACATCCTAAAAATCAAATGTTAATAATTCAAACTAAAGACGGTAAAGCCATGTGGAAAGTATTTCTAAAAATTAAGGTATTAAGGAAGAGAAGAGAGAGAGTAAATTAATCGTATTTTCTTTTGGAGTTCAATGTGGTACAAAGTTAAAGTCATATACCCGTATGTAAATAAATATTGGAAGCAAAAGACAGTAAACCATACCTATTGTTCTGAGGAAGGCAGTATTTGATCGGGGACAATGCTCTTTACTGCAGTTTGAAATCAGCGAAAATCGCCTTCTTCTTGGACAGTAATACAAAGTTCAGATTAATAACGTTTTCCAAATGAGAGTGCATGAGAAATTGAATGAGGTCAACAATACACATACATCTGCATCTTATTACCAATACTGTAGCTTACGTTGTTCCTTTTTCTCCAGTTTTTTTCTTCTGGAGAGTCTACACTCCATTTTGAAAATAGTGTTCAATCCATTCTTCTGCTGTAAACATTGATCAAATGGAGGTTTAAGTAAGTACACTTTGTCTTTCATTCAAGTAGGTTGTCAAACCAACTAATTCAAAAATAGAGGGAAAATATTGGTTCCTTACCATTGTAGTATCTTTTGCACTGCTAGTAAAGTGGATCCTTCAAGTGGCCTTTTCTTAGTCTAGTGGTATTCCCCTTGTGTCCCTTAATTACGTGTGCTATATAAAGAATAGAGAACTCAAAAATAGTACAGGAAAACAAGAGGTCATACTGCTTATACGTTTTTCAACTGATAGTTCAGAAGAGAAATCGAATTAAATAAACAAGGCTTACACACCTGTTTCTTCTATTCCTTAGTGAAGCTGAAGATTTTCAATTCTCTTGTTTCGTCTTGTGAGCTGACTGTTCTCCATTTGGGAATGATGTCCAATATATTCCTCTGCCTGTGAACATTGGAGAAATGGATCTTTATAAAAGATACTTTGTCTTCATTGAAATAAATAAGACAGATGAGTATTGTTTTACAGAGTAATAATCAATTTATCTAAAAATAGTTCCCTACCACTTTGGAGAATGTTGTACACTTTGCATAGTGGATCCTTGGAAAGGACATTTTTTCGTATGGAGGCACCCATTTGAGTTCTTCCATTGCCCCTGCCCCTGTTAAGGATAGAAACTGACACCAAATTAGTACAGAGTTCAAAGATGAAGAATTGTTTTTTTAATACAAGAATACGAAAATGCTAGTTATGTTAGAAAGATTAGTGAGGGGACAGAAGAAAAAACAGACAAAAGAAACATATTAGCTTACCTCATGTCTGGATTTTAAGACAAATCCAAACCTTTTCTGGACTCCTTGACTGATTCGCGTCTTTCACTGGCCAGTTACTCAACATCCTAAAAATTAAATGTTAATAATTTAAACTGGACACGGTTAAGCAATGTGGATACAATTACTAAAAATTAAGGTATTAAGGAAGAGAAGAGAGAGAGAGAGCAAATTAATTGTATTTTCTTTTTGAGTTCAATGTGGTACACAATTAAAGTCATATACCCGTATGTAAATAAATATTGGAAGCAAAAGACAGTAAACCATACCTATTGTTCTGAGGTAGGCAGTAATTGATCGGGAACAATGCTCTTTACTGCAGGTTGAAATCAGCGAAAATCGCCTTCTTCTTAGACAGTAATACAAAGTTCAGATTAATAACGTTTCCAAATGAGAGTGCATGAGAAATTGAATTAGGTCAACAATACACATACATCTGCATCTTATTACCAATACTGTAGCTTTCTAAGTTGATCCTTTTTCTCTAATTTCTTCTTGTGGAGAGTCTACACTCCATGTTGGAAATAGTGTTCAATCCATTCTTCTGCTGTAAACATCCAACAAATCGAGGTTTAAGTAAGTGCACTTTGTCTTTCACTCAAATAGGTTGTCAAATCAACTAATTCAAAAATAGAGGGAAAATATTGGTTCCTTACCATTGTAGTATATTTCGTAATGCTACTAAAGTGGATCCTCCAAGTGGCCTTTTCTGAGTCTAGTGGTATTCCCCTTGTGTCCCTCAATTACGTGTGCTATATAAAGAATAGAAACCAACTCAAAAATAGTACAGGAAAACATACTGCTCATACGTTTCCAACTGAGAGTTCAGAAGAGAAATCGAATTAAGTAAACAAGGCTTACACACCTGTTTCTTCTATTCCTTAGTGAAGCTGAAGATTTTCAATTCTCTTGTTTCGTCTTGTGAGCTGACTATTCTCAATTTGGTAATGATGTCCAATATATTCCTCTGCCTGTGAACTTTGGAGAAATGGATCTTTATAAAAGATACTTTGTCTTCATTGAAATAAATAAGCCAAACGAGTATTGTATTAAAGAGTAATAAACAATTTATCCAAAAATAGTTTCCCTACCGCTTTGGAAAATGATGTACACTTTGTATAGTGGATCCTCTGAAAGGACCTTTCTTCGTCTGGAGTCACCATCTTGAGTTCTTCTATTGCCCCTGCCCCTGTTAAGGATAGAAACTGACACCAAATTATTACAGAGTTCAAAAATGAGGAATTACTTTTAACAATACACGAATAGAAAATGCTAGTTATGTTAGAAAGAGTAGTGAGAGGACAGAAGACAAAACAGAGAAAAGAGACATATTAGCTTACCTCGTGTCTGGATTTCAGGACAAATCCAAACCTTTTCTGGACTCCTTGACTGATTTGCGTCTTTCATTGGCCAGCTTCTTAACATCCTATCAATTAAATATCAATAATTCAAACTGGACATAGTTAAGCCATATGGAAACAATTACGAAAAATTAAGGGATTAAGAAAAACGAGAGAGAGAGAGCAAATTAATCATATTTTCTTTTCGAGTTCAATCTGACACACAGTTAAAGCCATATAACAATATGTAAATAAAACATTGGAAGGAAAAGAGAGTAAACCATACCTATTGTTCTGAGGTAGGCAGTAGTTGATCGGGGACAATGCTCTTTACTGCAGGTTGAATTCAGCAAAACTCGCCCTCTTCTAAGTTAGTGAAATAAAGTTCAGATTAATGACTATTTCCAACTGAGAGTGGATGAGGAATTGAAAAAAGTCAACATTACATATTCATCTCCATCTAATTACCAATACTTTAGCTTAAGTTGATCTTTTTTCTACAGTTTCATCTTGTGGAGAGTCTACATTCCAATTGGAAATGGTGTCAAATCCATTCTTCTTCTGTGAACATTGAAAATGGATGTTTTAATAAGGACACTTATTATTTCATTTAAGTAGAATGTCAGATTAACTAATTTAAAAATAGAGGAAAAATGTTTGTTCCTTACCACTATAGTATATTTTGTACTGTTAGCAAAGTGGATTCTCCAAGTGGTCCCTTCTTAGGATAGCGGTATTCCCTTGTGTCCCACCATTACTTGAGCTATATAAAGAATAGACACAGACACAATATTAGTACAGGAAAACAATACGTCATATTAATCATACCTTTTCCAATTCAAAGTTCAGAAGAGAAATAAAATTAAGTCAACAAGGCTTACACGCCCGTTTCTTCTTTTCCTTAGTGAAGCTGAAGTTTTTCAATTCTCTTGTTTCTTCCTGTGAAGGGACTGTTCTCCTTTAGTAATGATGTCCAATAAACTCCTCTGCCTGTGAGCATTGAAGAAATGGATATTTACTAAAAATACTTTGTCACTATTGATATAAATAGCCCAAATGAGAATTACAGAATAATAATCAATTTTTCCGCTTAAAGTTCCTTACCACTTTGGAGATTGAGGTACACTTTGCATAGTGGGTCCTCAGAAAGAACATTTCGTCTTGAGGCACCCACTTGAGTTCCTCCATTGCCCATGCCCCTGTTAAGAATAGAAACTGACACCAAATTAGTACAGAGTTCAAAAATGAAGAATTTTTTTGTTTTAAAATACACGAATACGAAAATGCTAGTTATGTTAGAAATAGTAGTAAGGGACAGAAGAAAAAAACAGACAAAAGAAACATATTAGCTTACCTCATGTCTGGATTTTAAGACAAATCCAAACCTTTTCTTGTCTCCTTGACTGATTCGCGTCTTTCATTGGCCAGCTACTCAACATCCTAAAAATCAAATGTTAATAATTCAAACTAAAGACGGTTAAGCCATGTGGATACAATTACGAAAAATTAAGGTATTAAGGAAGAGAAGAGAGAGAGAGAGTAAATTAATCATACTTTCTTTTGGAGTTCAATGTGGTACGCAGTTAAAGTCATCTACCCGTATGTAAATAAAATTGGAAGCAAAAGAAAGTAAACCATACCTATTGTTCTGAGGTAGGCAGTAATTGATCGGGGACATTGCTCTTTACTGCAGGTTGAAATCAGCAAAAATCGCCTTCTTCTATGACAGTGATACAAAGTTCTGATTAATAACGTTTTCCAACTGAGAGTGCATGAGAAATTGAATGAGGTCAACAATACACATACGTCTGCATCTTATTACCAATACTGTAGCTTATATTGATCCTTTTTCTCCAGTTTCTTCTTCTGGAGAGTCTACACTCCGTTTTGGAAATGGTGTTCAATCCATTCTTCTGCTGTGAACATTGAACAAATGGAGGTTTAAATAAGGACACTGTCTTTCATCCAAGTAGGATGTCAAATCAACTTATTCAAAAATAGAGGGAAAATATTTGTTTCTTACCATTGTAGTATATTTTGTACTGCTCGTAAAATGGATCCTTCAAGTGGCCTTTTCTGAGTCTAGTGGTATTCCCCTTGTGTCCCTCAATTACGTGTGCTATATAAAGAATAGAAACCAACTCAAAAATAGTACAGGAAAAAACAAGAGGTCATACTGCTGAACGTTTTCCGATTGAGAGTTCAGAAGAGAAATCGAATTAAGTAAACAAGGCTTACACACCTGTTTCTTCTATTCCTTAGTGAAGCTGAAGTTTTTCAATTCTCTTGTTTCTTCCAGTCAATGACTGTTCTCCATTTGGTAATGATGTCCAATATATTCCTCTGTCGGTGAACATTGGCGAAATGGATCTTTATAAAAGATACTTTGTCTTTATTTAAATAAATAAGCCGAATGAGTATTGTATTGCAGAGTAATAATCAATTTATCCAAAAATTGTTCCCTACCACTTTGGAGAATGATGTACACTTTGCATAGTGGATGCTCAAAAAGGACCTTTCTTCGTCTGGAGGCACCCACTTGAGTTCCTCCATTGCCCCTGCCCCTGTTAAGGATAGCAACTGACACCAAATTAGTACAGAGTTCAAAGATGAAGAATTTTTTTTAAATACAAGAATACGAAAATGCTATTTATGTTAGAAAGAGTAGTGAGGGGACAGAAGACAAAACATACAAAAGAAACATATTAGGTTACCTTATGTCTGGATTTTAAGACAAATCCAAACCTTTTCTGGACTACTTGACTGATGTTTGCCTTCTTTCGTTGGCCTGTTACTCAATATCCTGTAAATTAAATATCAGTAATTCAAAATGAATACATGGATAGGTCATGTAGAAAGAAGTACGAAAATTCAAGAGATTAAGGAAGAGCAAAATTTATTGCATTTCCTTTTAGAGTTCAATGTGGCAGACAGTTGAAGTCAGCTAAAACGTAGATAATCAAGATTATGAAGCTCACCTCGACGAATGTCATTCGTTTAAGTAATTGAAAATTCACATCATATTTTCTTTATAGTTATATGCATCCTTGAAGTTCTGTTTAAGTAGGACTTATAGTTCATTTACAATTGACCTATTCACTAATCAAGAAAATGTCTTTCATTTCCTACATCTGAAGCAAGTCTGAATTGTCTATCCTTAGATGCACCATCCAGAGTTACTTCAATAACATTATATGTACCCTAGCCACTCATCTGGAAAATGTAGGTCAGATCCAGCATCCGAAGCAAGTCTGGTAGAGCCCTTCCCTATGTGCATTATCCAAGCAAGTTTGGTCCAGGTAGGGCTTATAGTTACTTTGGAATAGACCTACTACCTACTCCAAAACCTTTAAACTGGTCACTCATCAAGAAAATGTATGTCAGATATTGCATCCGAAGCAAGTCTGGTAGTGTCATTCCCTAGATACATCATCTTTGCAAGTTTGGTCCAGGTAGGGTTAATATTTACTTGGGAATGGACCTGCTCCAAACACGAGACACAGAAACTGACACAAAATTAGTACAGGAAAACAGAAGGTCATATAACTGATAGTTTTCCGAATGAAAGTGATGACGAGAAATTGAATGAGATAAACAAGGCTTACACGTCTGATTTTACTTTTCCTTAGAGAAGCTAAAGTTGGTCAATACTATTCTGTTTCTTCTTGTAAAGGAGCTGTTCTCCAACTGGTAGTGATGTCCAAACCCCCATCCTCCTTTTCCTTTGAACAAAGAATAAATGAATATTTAAAAGAGATGCTTCAACTTTATCGAAATCAACAGGCCACACAAAGTGTTACAGAATGATCAACTAATTCAGAAAAAAAAATTCCTTACTAATTTGTCTTTTGATGAACTGTCAGTGTAGTAGATTTTTGGAATGATCCCTTCTTAGTTTGCGCGGCGGCCATCCTGTATCCTTATGTCATTGCCTGCGCTCCTATTTAAGATATTAACTGACACAAAATTAGTACAGTACCAAGTTCAAAACCAACAAGAAAAATATACGTTTCATAAAATGTCTTAAAATAAAAAATAAAATGAAATTTCAATTAGGGATAAGTTAGTATAGATAAAACACATTCAAACGTATTAATAAAAATTAACAGAGGTATTACGATTTTTTTTTCAATTAAAATATAATTTAGTTCGGAAATCACATGTATAAATTAAAAGAACTAAAAATAAATCTACGGGAAAAAGCTTGTTCTGATTCCACTTTTTAATGTTTATAACAACTAAAAAGATACTTTAAAATGTGGGGAAAAAATATGCAAGTTAATTATATGTCAGTACAATGTAACAATACTGACTCCTGAAAATAACCAATAAAAATTTCCATTTATTGAACAATATAATTGCAGGTCTAGAAATGTATGTTTTGTGGAGATTCATACATATAAATACCCTTAATAAAATTTACAAATAACGAACCAAAGTACAGTTTAAAATTTCAATAAAATGCCAAGAAAAAAATTGGAAGTTTGGAAACCTGCTTGTACATGTATAAAACATAGTGCAAATCTGTAGAAATATTTAATTAAAACCAAGAAAGATAAAAAAAAAATTTAAAGGGGGGGGGGGGGTGAAAGTGCAAGTTTTTAAATGTAAAGTATATTGAATGTAAATTAGGAAATGCAAGTTTGGTAAGTGCATGGGTTGAATGGGTAGGTTGAATGAGCATGCAAGTTTGGTCAATCTAGGTTCAGAAAGTGTAAATTTGGCTCGTACAAATTTAGTCAGTGCAAAGTTGGTAAATGCAAGTTTAATTAAAGCAAGTTTGGTAAGTGTAAGTTTAGTTAGTGTTAGTGCAAGTTTGGTAAGTGAAAATTTTGTTAGTGAAGGAATGTTAAGTTTGCAGGTTTAATAAATGCAGGTTTGCAAGTTTGGAAAATGCAAGTTTGTTTAGTGTTAATGCAAGTTTGGTAAATGCAAGTTTGGAGAGTGCAAGTTTGGAGAGTGCAAGTTTGGTAAAACCAAATTTTGTAAAAGCAAGTTTGGTAAGTGAAGACTTGGGTAGTGAAGGAATGGTAACTGAAATTTATGCAAGCGCAAGTTTGGTAAATGAAAGTTTGGTAAATTCAAGTTTGTTTTGTGTTAGTGCATGTTTGGTAAATGCAAGTTTGGTAAATACGCAAGTTTGGTAAATGCAAGTTTGTTTAGTGTTAGTGCAAGTTTGGTAAATGCAAGTTTGGTAGTGTTAGTGCAAGTTTGTTAAATGCAAGTTTGGTAAATGCAAGTTTGGAGAATGCAAATTTAGTAATTGCAAGTTGTTAAAGTGCAAGTTTGGTAAATGCAAGTTTAGTAAATGCAGGTAGGATGAGTGTTACTGCGAGTTTTGAACTTGCAAGTTTGCATGTGCAAGTTTGGTAACTTTAAAGTGGTAAGTACAGATGTGGTTAATAAAAGCTTGGCTAATGCCAATTTTGCAGTTTGATAGGTGAAGTTTGGTTTATTTTTAATTCATAATATCTATAAGAGAAATGAATAACTATTAAATAAAATGAAATCAATAAGAGAATGAATGACTATAAAAAAAAAAGCAGAAGTGCACTTCCAGTTTATCTGCAACCTACATGTATTTCACTCATAACAACTCCAATAAGTATATATAAAAGTCTTAAAACAATACAAATAACCATATATAAAGTCTAAAAAAAAAAAAAAACAATTTAGTTGCAGGTTCCCTTTAGATGCCATGTCACATGTTTGGATGCAATACGTATATACATATACATTGCAATAAAAAAAAATTAGCTAAATACATTACAAACAATTAACATCAGTAAAAGTTTTAAATAGAAAAATACCCATTTGACTTAGACACAACATCAATGAAAATTAATATCAATAACAATTGACAAAATACTCTTTCTACAATTAAAAAAACATATTTAATTAAAAGTTCTAGGATGGGTATAAAAAAAATTAAGTTTGGTAAGGACAAGTTGGGTTTAGATGCAACACAAAATTATATATACTGTATTCATACCAAAATAACAGACACCTGTTAAAGTCAATGTTAATTTCAAGTAATTTTAGGCCTTGTTGAGATATGGATCCACATTCATCAACAAATAAACAAGAAAATGATGAATAAAATTAGTAGAAGAAGAATGGGAGTATAAGTACATGCAAAAAAAAGTAATTCAGCTCACCTCAAGTCTGGTTTTAGGACATAAATCAAACCTTTGTATGGAATCTCTAGCTGTTCAGTGCCTTCATGTTATGTTGCCTCCAGCAGACCTGTTTTTCCACATTCTGTCAATTTAAAGTCAAGAGTAAAACAATAAAATACCATACATGTCTATATCAAAAATTCTAAACATAAATGTGAACAGGGCATATTTACATGATATTTGAATTTCATTTAAGTGCTAAAATAAACATCCTTTTTTGAACTGGCCACACCTGCCGTGATCCCACGTCTCTATTGGTTTAATTGACTTTATGTAGTCAAAGTTTTTCATAAAACAAAATGTGCTAGTGAAACACTGATTCCTCTGTATGTCAGCTAAAAGGAAAGGTTGATTTAAATTGTGTAATTTACAAAAAGGCCAAAATTGTTTACCAATGGATGTCATATGGAATATATACCTATGAAATATGAATCCCTAGTGCTAACTGTTTAAAACTTTTGACAAAGGTTAAAGTTTTTTTCAAATTATGACAAAATGTGAGATTGAGGTCAAAAGGTCAAAAATATTTATATGAATTGAAGGTCATGTCACAATAAATATACATGTGAAGTATGAAAACCTTAGCCATAACTGTTAAAAAAATTATAGCCAAGGTTAAAGTGGGTCAAACTCCAAGGCCAAGGTCAAAAGATCAATTTTGGTTGTTTCTAAAGAAAGGTTTTGAAACAAGGTGAAAAATACGTGAAATTTAAAAACCCATGCACTCAAAAGTTACAAAGGTAAAATTGTTTGTTTCCAATGGATGATGTCACATGGAATATATCTATGAAATATAAAAGCCCCAGTGCTAACTGTTCAATAGTTGTGACCAGGGTTTGTTTTTTTAAATAGGCCAAAATGTGAGGTCGAGGTCAAAAGGTCATGTCACAAGGTCATTATATATAAGACCAAAGAATTTTTCACTCATTTAAGGAGGCTGGAGGGTCAACAAATAAACCAAAAGATATAGCTTTTCTTTTAAGATACATCTTAAGCTGTCAGCAATCATTAGGCAAAGAAAAAGTTCACACTTGTTAGTTTTTAAATTTGATCACTTTTGTATATCTTTATATGAAGCTCTTCTTCTAAAAGAGATAAAAAAAATCTTAAAATGGCCACAAGAACCAAGCCCTCTTAAAGACGTCATAATGCTGATTA